AAGAGAGTTGTTCAGGCCAACGCTTTATAGTAAGGGTAAAAATAAAAAAAGGACAATGTTGTGAACGTCATCTACGGCCAAATCTGGCTGCTCAAGATGTAACAGACAGCATCGCGGTTTCGTCAAGTACAACACCAAATGCGCGTGTATGTGCTGCAGCAAGACAAAAAAAGGGCTAGCAACACAACAGGGCATACTGCTGTGCCCTGGTAAGAAGGGCGACGTAGCTGGGTACATACTAAGTAGGTGACAGCGTCCAAAAACGAGCCCAGCTGATTGGTCAACGTCCACTGTTACCCTGCCGTTTCCCAAATGCCAAGGGTATTCCCTGCCACGTCTACATACTTTTCTCCAGAATTATACCCTGATTTGACGGTAAAATTATACCCCTTCGCCATATTTTCCTCAATCCAGGGAATCCATTTATTCCCGATCCAACCACGGGATATTCCAACCGTGAACTCTTCCCGCTCGAAACAACAATGGCCGCTTGCACACACCACATACACTTTAAAGTACAGCAGCATTTCCGACGGGAAAGCAATAGATAGCGAGACAGCACACGAGTCATCCGGCTCAGATCCAGCATGGTTGAAAGCAGCACGGGAGTCACACGGTTCGGATCCAGCATGGTTGAAAGCAGCACGGGAGCCATACGGTTCAGATCCAGCATGGTTGAAAGCAGCACAGGAGATATCCGGATCAGATCCAGCATGGTTGAAAGCAGCACGGGAGTCACACGGTTCGGATCCAGCATGGTTGAAAGCAGCACGGGAGCCATACGGTTCGGATCCAGCATGGTTGAAAGCAGCACGGGAGCCATACGGTTCAGATCCAGCATGGTTGAAAGCAGCACAGGAGATATCCGGATCAGATCCAGCATGGTTGAAAGCAGCTGTTTTCAGCCATGCTGGATCGAACACGTTCTGACTTTAGCACCTCGATACCTCAAAACTCGGATTGCTTTCCCAGCGGAAATAAAGGTGCTGTGTGCCAGCGAGTGTTGTTTTCGAGCGGGAAGATTAAGATTTCATGGGTAGCAGCATCCTATGGTTGGATCGGAAATTAAACGGATTCCCGTGGATTGAGAAAAAAGTTCCCGACGAAGGGGTCCCATTTTCCCGTCACATCAGGGTAGTATGCATAGCATAGCATACAAAATTTACGAAAACAGAGTGATCATTCTGGAGAAAAGCCGTGGTAGGGTACAGCCCGGGCGGACTAATTAGGACACGGCAAGGCATTGTTGACAAATCAGCTGAGCTTGATTGACGCTGTCAAATGGTAGCATACGTACGCAGCTGAGTCGCTCTTCGACCGGGATACTGTATATACCCTGTTTTGTCGTTTGCAAAAAAAAAAAATGGGGTTTTGTTGCTAGGTTTCAGGAGGGAGGGCCTTTCGTCAGGCCTTCTTGGTGCTGGTAAAAAACCATATGGAAACGGGCTCACGCTTGCACCGAGCCCTCGCGTGTCGACCCGTTACATACAGTCTTAGCAACACCCCATCTCTACACGATGATCGTGGACTCTATTTAGAGTCACAGGTCAAACCGCTGGGAAAAAATACCCCGGCGGTGCCCCCACCGATTGTACACTCCGCATCCTCCCCCCTCCCGCTAAGCCCTAGGAGACTTCTACCGTCTAGCGTTTGTGTGCCGCATAATACTTTAGGCCTATTATATAATAGTGCGATAGTGGGAGATTGAGGTGGCTTGAAAGTTGCGATTTGAGGACCATCTTTCCGCAGAGAGTTTTTGCGACACAGAGCAGGTTCACACTCAACTTTTAGCGGGCCATGTACGGAGGGAAGCCTTCAAGCTTCTGCTACGACTCATAGCGGGCCAATATTTTCGGTCAACAATCGCGGAAAAGTGCGCTTCAGTTGCCGACAGCTGCCCCAAGCACAACCACACTGCTCGAAAGTGCCGGAGCTTGTGCGTGAGCGGCATCGCATGCCTTGACAGCAGCAGCAGCAGACAACGAGACACAATCCTACAAATAGAGGTGTTCTTGTGAACTATGTGTACATGCATCCAGCAACCCGAAGTTTGACCGAACTGCCGGATCTTTTGGTACTTTGACGAGTCGTCGCCGTTCGTACGTGCGTACATTTCGTCCAATGAAAACGAATTGAACGCGAATCAAGCTGGGTTACCGTGCGTTCTCCTATTGTACGCCAAAAACATGTACCAGAGGTGTGGGATTTGACACAGCTTGATTTTTCGATTTACGCCCCCCCAAACGATAGTAAAAAGAGGAATTTTCAGCTGATTATTACATCCCCCTCCCTCAAGAAAAGCTCCTTCTTGCGCAAATCCCTTTCTTCTACGTTCGACTTTAGTTTCGTTTGCGAAACGCCATACATACATACATATTTTAACTTTCCTTTCCGCACTTGATCTTTTTTCTTAAAAAACTATCTTTGTATGTGTCTCTCTGTTCGTTGCTGTCGTTGTTGTATAATAGTCTCCGCAGATGAAAACCGTTCCCGTCGTCTCTTTTGGGTACAACCTTGGTAAAATCCGTGGTTATGTAGCCAATGTATGCCTTGCATTTGGCCAAAGCCATC